TAGCTAGCTGGGTGGCTAGCTAGCTGGGTGGCTAGCTAGCTGGGTGGCTAGCTAGCTGGGCGGCTAGCTAGCTGGGGGTCTAGCTAGCTAGCTAGCCACCACTGCTGGGGTGAGAAAGAAGGCTTGCGAAACTGCAAGCCGCCTAGTCAGCTGGCTAAGACGAATGAGCTAGCTATGGAGCTGGAGGCCCACAGCTAGCTAGCTAGCCAGCTAGCTAGCCATGCATAACCCAGTTTGCTAGCTAGCCAGCTAGCTAGCTAACTAACTAACTAACTAAATAGCTAGCTAACTACGTAACTAGCTAACTGGCTTTCTCTATAGCTAGCCAGCTAGCGATATCGCGGCTAGCTAGCGAGCTAGTTGCACACGGAGGGCCTAGTAAGCTAGCTAGCTAGCTAGCAGCTAGCAGCTAACAGCTAGCTAGCTAGCTAGCTAGCTAGCTAGCGAGCTTTGGGTTCCCTGGCAGAATAACTTGGGAAGCTGCAAGCTTCCATTTCAGGTGAATGCTAGCTGTAAAGAACTGCCGAAGCAGAAAGCTGCATAGCTAGCTGCGTGGCTAGCTAGCTGCGTGGCTTGCTAGCTAGCTAGCTAGCTGGCTGCGTAACAGCAGCTGCTGCAGCTCTGGGCACTTTTGCTGCAGCTTGGGGACCTGCCTATACACTCCAGCCACGACGGAAGCACTGCCAAGATAGAAAGTAAATCAGGAGCAGCAGCAGGTGGCAGCAGCAGCAGCAGACGGCAGCAGCAGCAGCAGACAGCAGCAGCTGCTGCAGTCGCAGCGGCAGCAGCAACAGTAGGCGGCACGGTAAATGTAGTCTCAGTAGCACCAGGATTACTGTACAACTGCAACAGCAGCAGCAGCAGCAGCACCTGCTGCTGCTGTTGCTGCTGCTGCTGCTGGAGAAGCACAGCGTGTGCAGGCGCAGCAGCAGCACCTTTGCTGCAACGCCAGATACAGCAGCAGCTGAGTGTGCTGCTCCAGTGTCTTTGAAGGCACCCGGTGAAACTGCAGCAACAGCAACAGCAACAACTGCAGCAGCAGCAGCAGCAGTTGAAATTAATAAAAATAATGAGAACGTAAAGCAGCAATTCCTAACAGCAACTTCCAAAGCCCAGCAGCAGCAGCGGCACCAGGGGCCCCCGCCAGGGCCCCACGTTTGGGCCCCCCTGCTGCTGCTGCTGCTACTGCTGCTGCTGCTGCTGCTGCCTCGCGTTGATCTGAAGGCTTTAATTTTGAAGATTTCACAGCATGTGCAGCTGCAGCAATTGAAAGCTGCTGCTACTGACGGACAGAGCAGCAGCATCAGCATCAGCAGCAGCAACAGCAGGTGTTGTTGCAGCTCCAGGCCCTTCCCTCGGCAGCAACTGCAGCAACTGCAGCAATAATTAATTCTTTTGCTGCTCCAGAACGAGCAGCGGGCAGGCTGGCAGCAACGGCAGCCGCTGAGCGCCGCCGCAGCAGCAACAGCAGCAGCTGCAGCTTCACTTGCTGCTGTTGCCCCAGCTGCAGCAGCAGCAACAGCAGCAGCAGTAGTGTTTGTAAGGGATTCAGCAGCAGCAGCAGCAGCAAAGATGGATGAAGTATGTGTGGATCTGACTGGGGACTCTGGGGATGAAGACTTCAATGTGAACTCTGAGCAGCAGCAGCAGCAGCAGCAGCAGCAAACAGATGAGGAGGAGGATGAGGATGACTATGAAGATGCAGAAGAAGAAGAGGATGACTTTGATGAGGCAGCAGCAGCAACAGACGAGGAAGCAGCAGCAGCAACAGATGACGAGGAAGCAGCAGCAGCAGCAGCACCAGATGAGGACGACGCAGAAGCAGCCGCAACAGATGAAGAAGCAGCAGCAGCAGCACGAACAACAGACGATGACGGCCCAGCAGCAGCAGCAGATGATGAATCAGCAGCAGCAGCAGCAACAGATGATGAAGCAGCAGCAGCAGCAACAGATGATGATGCAGATGAAGACGAAGATGCTTCCGATGAGTACGGAGACAGCGAAGAAGAGGAAGCAGCAGCAGCAGCAGAAGCAGCAGCAGAAGGGGACAGTGAGAAGGACGCGTCAGCTGGGGAGTGCTCCGGTGCAGAAGCAGCAGCAGAAGAGAGGCCCCTTAGGGGCAGCAGCAGGAAGCAGCAGCAGCAGCAGCAACGACAGCAGCAGCAACGGCGTCGCAGAGGCGCAGGAGCTGGGCGAGGGGCTGTCGATACACCTGAATCTGTTGAGCATACACCTCAAAGCAGCAACAAATGCCGCAGCAGCAGGAGCAGCAGCAGCAGCAGCAGCGACAGAAGCGACGATGCTGCCTCTTCTCCTTCACTAGAGATCTCGGGGAAGGAGGAGCAGCAGCAGCAGCAGAGGTTGCTGCTGAGTGAGCAGAGCAGCAGCAACAAGGGAAGCGCTGAATCAGAAACACCAGCAGCAGCAACTGTTACTGCAGCGCAGCAGCAGCAGCAGCAGAACGAAAGGCTGCAACAGCAGCATGACGAGCTGAAGCAGATGCTGCAGCAGCAGCAGCAAACTGAGGGCTTTTCATTCCTCCCGGGTATCGCGAGAGCCCAGGTGGCAGCAGCAGCATGGGGGCGGACTTGTATCGCGAGATACGAGACAGTATTAGAAAAGCAACAGCAGAGACACTGGAGAGCAACAGAAGACGGCACAAGTTGCTGCTGAAGCAGCTGCAGCAGCAGCCGCAGCAGCAGCAGCAGCAGCAGCACTTTAGTGGGCGCGACCTCTCGCTGTCTGCAGCAACAGCAGCAGCAGTAGAGGCAGCAGCAGCAGCAGCAGCAGCAGATGCTGCGCATGCACCTCAGGAGGAAGATGCTCTCATTGAAAGCCAAATTGCTGCTGCTTTTCTTAAACCCCTGCAGGGGGAGAAGCAGGAATTCTCCGGGTTAGCAGCAGCAGCAACAGCAGCAGCAGCAGCAGCAGCAGCAGTAAGAGCAGTAGTGGAAGCAACTGTAGGAGCAGCAGCAGCAACTCCTGTAGATGCAACAGCAGCCCTAGCAGCAGGGAAGGCAACAGCTCCAGCAGCAGCTGCTGCAGCTGCAGCAGCAGCAGCAGCTGCTGCTGCTGCTGCCATTAAAGTTTTACTTTGTGTCT